CTTTACTCTTGCTTACATCCAAAATACGTATTAAATCATCTCTGTTTGGAGAGCCGGAGCCTCCTTAAAACCATGAAACATTCAATTACTAATTAGCTGTTTCCTGTTCCTAATGAAGTGAACATGTCGGATTTGGATTAAAATTCAGCTCCCGCTCTCCTCTGTTTATGGTTCCAGATGTTTTTGTTTTATCTAGGAGGTTACTTTGACAGCTACTGCTAAATGATAAATCACTCATATTATAGCTGAAATGCATTTTGAAATTGAAATGTGGCAAACTTTGAGATTGCTCCAAGGATCGGTGTCAGTTAGCAGGTCAATACTTGTTCTTTCCTTCTGAGTCTTCGGTATTGGCATATGTAAAACAGTAATGGGGTAGATGTCAACATTATACAAAATGCTTCTCGATATTATCATTTTGCTATCATCATCTTCGAGATCAGTACTTGCAGCTTTAGCTGGGTGCGTTCGTGATTCATTGTATAATGAACAAGAATATGGATTCTTGTTAGCTTCAATTTCCGTGGGCATTTTAATATTTCTTTTTTCTCTGGGCTTAGAGTTGCTTAGTGTGAAAAATCACAGTTGATAACTACTGTATCTAGGAATATTTTTATGAAGGAAAGAAGTGGCTTTCTGCTTGTTTCCCTAAATAAAAAATTATATTTTTTTGGAAAGAAATGTGGCAATTTCTGAAGGAAAGAAGAGGCTTGAAAGAACAGTTATTGGTTTAATTCTACTACCTTTTTTTTTTTTATGCAATTCAAATTTAACCAACTGTTCCTAGGAGGTCGTCGTACACGTAATAATGATATGTTTTAAAGCTGATGCCACGTTAGTCTGTCTTATAGAGGCACGCAATACAATGCAGGCTGCCTTCTGAGAAAAAGAAAAAAAGAGAAAAATGAGCAAATACCAATCAAGGTGTTTACAGCCCCTGCTCAGCAGGTGCTGGTGGGCAAGGACAGGTCGAGCCAAGGCTGATGGGTCTTTAGCACGGCCAAGTGCCCACCCCCATCCCAGCCGGTGAGAAGGTGAAATTCTGCTGAGACCACCCCGTGCCCTCCCGAGGGCTTTGGTGTCACAGAATCACAGGAGTTGGAAGGGACCTGCTGTCCAACCCCCCTGCCAGAGCAGGATCGCTGGCCGGTGCCTCTTGTTCCTGTGGAAAACGTACTCACGTGATGGATAGTTCACAGCACTTGTAGATCTGATCATTTGGCTTGAGGAAAAAAAAATAAAAATCCACAAATGTGGAAACTCACCTAAGCTTCAGTTAATTCTAAAATGCATAACTGACCCTTTTTTCTTCTTTTTTTCCCCCTCCAGAAAACAGAACATACATCAAGCCTACTATTATGTACTGAAGGAAACACCCATTGTTGAAAAATGTATAATGACCACTATTTGAAGACTATATAATTCATGACAAATGTCCCTTTCAACCTTTGATGCCTTCAGTACTGTGTGAAGAACAGGATTTGTAGCATGAAACGAAGGACAATTTCAAGCAATTTACTGTTGCTGCATCGAAAACTGCCGTATTAAGACATATTGAGACTTTTTACAAGCTTACCATACCAAACCAAGCCCGTTGCAACCGATCATTTTTAGGTCCCTGGAGATAGAAAGGAGTTTTAGTATTTTTAAGCACATACAGGAATTATTCCCCCTTCCCCCCCCGAAAAAAAGAACTTTTTTTTCTTTTTTTTTTCTTTTTTTTCTAAGGAGGTAGCTATTACTGGATAGCAATGGCACAATGATTTTAAGCCACAAAGGTCCTCACTGGCTGTACATCATACAAGTCCAGTTTATCACTGAAACTGTTCAACATGGAGCTGTTTCGATTGTGTTTATAACTTAAGCTTTGTTTACTGAAGCAGATACTCGATATATATTACGTTTTAAAAAGAAATGTGTGTACATTTTTTAAAAGAATGATGTAAAAATTGTCCTTTCATTAGATGACCAATTCAAAAGTGTGAGCTAAACCCTAATAGCTGACGTAATACGAGGATTATAATTGATGCTTTTTTTTATGCTCAGTTCAGCTTGGCTTTTGGTCTTTTAAGATGAAAAAAAATGAATATGCAGTAGAGTGTTAGATAATGGAAACTTTTAAGTATGGTTTCTCTGTTGTACCATATTAAGTTAAAGTACACATTCTTTGTTAAAAATGTTCTTGCTAAAAATACAGTATTAAAAATTTTTTTGTTTGACTTTGGAAATCTTTTAAGATTTTTTTTTTTAATGGACTGTGAATTCCCATAGTTACTGTACTAATGCAAACTAGTCTTTTGCACTATTAAAAATACTTGAAGAGATTCCTTAATAAAGAGGGTGGGCTGGTATTAAACATTTTCCTAATTATTTTATGTTCCAAATTCTGAACTTTGCAACCGAGATATTTTCCTTTCTCAAAATACGTGACTGAAGGCTGGTTTGAGTCAAGTGGAATTAAGTCATCACCTGTTCACTCTTTACTTTCACTCATGGGTCAGAGGCACAATGCTTATTTACTTATAAACTCATGTTTATAGATGCGTATTTATGTTCACACACACAAACCTAAATTAAATCACTGTCAGTTAAAACTAATAAAAACCCTTTAAATAGATTTATGGGGAATACATTGCCTACGGTTATGTATATTCCTAGCTCTATCTGTTTCTATATTATTATCCCTACCTATATACGCATAGCGTTAAAAATTTCTTTTCTTTTTAATCACTAATTTTTTCTGGTTAACAGACTTCTGCAAACTTTCCAAGTGTAGCTTCAAACTGTGCAGAATAGAATAATCTGATTTTTCATTCCGAAAAGAAATCTTTTAGCTTAACCTAAAAGGAAATCGTATGGGCCTCTGTTTTACAGGTGATCAAACTAATTATCAGAATAATCTGCCAATGTACGAATACAGCTTATTCCATGTTATTTTTAGAGCAAGCATTCTAATAACTGCATTAATCACTCTGCCAGTAATCAGTCAAAAAATGGAATGACGCAAAGCAACAGGAGCATAAGGAATTGTGAGGCCTTTCCGCACTCTTACTAAAAGCTCATGGGTGAGTAAAACACTCCAGCACCTGGACTTAAGTTTTGTCTTTGGCTCTATATTAATTTTAGTTGCTATTCCATCAATATTCTGTGAAATGAGAGTTGGACCTTAGTTCTAAATCTTATTTTTAAAAAGGGCTTGAAACAGCATTTCTGACAAACAGAACCCTCGTTGCTCCTATGAATTTGGAGAGAGCTCTTTGGTGCCTTACCCAGCACCTTTTGAAAGCCTTTTAGAAAGACTTTAAGTAGCTAAATAGTTCAGTCTTGGAAATGGTAGTATTTCTGCATTTTTCTTTAGTCTCCATAAAGACTCTTTTAACTTTGTTTTTTTCCCTCAGTGACTGATCTACATTTCTTAAAGCTGCATTGATACTGGGTTGATGAGAATGTCATTGATTCCGAATTCGCCCTTCCCAGAGTAGTTTTAAAAACAGAAGTACTGACAAACGAGAGATAGGAAACTGATAAAATTCAGAGGCTGATTCTGTTGTTGAGTCCTTATTAGGCAGTTCCTGATAAATATCAACAGAAAAAGGCACTGATGTTCCTATGTGTGAGCTGATGTGTAACCAACACTTTCTGTCGGATGAACCTCAAAGCAACAAGTTTGGCTGATTGAAGCTGAACAGTTCATATAAAAGTGTAGATTTCAAATTATTTTTTTTTTCTCATTTTATTTTACTTCTTAGTATCTCCTCAGTGCTATTCCAAGTGACATCCTTCCCTTGCACAGGGATCTGACTGAGTCACGCTCACCCAAGCCCTTTTATGCAATGGTTCACTTAGAGAAAACTAAGGGAACAATTGATTCTATTTCATTTATAAAAGGCAGCTATAAAGAACAGGGAAATAATCTTCCATGGCCAGCACAGAAAGCTGCATAACCCTCGTTCCTGCCTGGACAGCACAGCAATGAATTGCTCGTGGACACAACCCCCTGTTCAGCCACAGTCACCACCTGCCTTGTCCATCTTCTATTTTCAGCAGCCAATCTTGCGTAGGACGGGTTTGAAGAACCCAAACCCTGCAGGGCAGAGCCGAGCAGGAGGCAATTCAGCCTTCACCACACTCCTCGTCGTTTGAGGCCGTGAGGGACTTTTGGGGGTGGTGGTGGGTTTTGTTTTGTTTTGTTTTGTTTTTTCCCAAACAAAACTGCCGCAGAGGAGCAGAACTTTGGCTGTGCCCATGTCCTCGGCACCTCCTAGAAGTGCAGAGCAGGGAGCTGCTGAAAACCTGTTCCGACGCGGGGAAGCCGGGCTGGGGAAGGGTGCAGCACCCCCCAGCCCCTCTGCCCCTGGGGCAGCTCCGATTTCCTGCAGAGCATCTCCTGTTTTTTTACAAATTACCTTTGCAGTGGCACCGTGCCGATAGCGTTGGCGTTAGCTGGACACAAGGTGATCTTGGCTTAAATGCGGGTGAGTTAATGGACGATGTACTTCAGCAGTTTTATGAATCTTGTGCCATGCAGACTGCCAGCCTAATAAACTCCAGCAGAATCAATAGTGACCAATCTCAATTTAAAATCTGGATCTATAGTACTGCGCAGCGAGAACGCTCTCCTCTAGAAATGCGTGGCTGTGCATTAAAAGCCAAATGCCTGTTTAAGTAATTGCTATCTACAAGTAAGTGGTCCATTAATATATTCATTTATGGAGTATTTTTGGTAACATGGTAACGTGCAGGATAACTTGGATTGTTAGAAATTTCCTTTGTGGCCTCAGCTGATCCCCAAAACTGCGTGTGTGTGCATTGGGTTTGGATTTTTTTTTTATTTTAAAGACTGGGTGTATATGTTGGGTTTGGATTTTTTTATTTTTTTATTTTTTTTTATTTTTTTAAACATGTGCTATCATCATTTGCTACACATGCTAAGCACTTGGAAGATCACTCTCAGTAAATGTTTTGTCTTTTTGTTCTGTCCAATAATTTGAAGCTGGGATGGAAGAGGAGAAAAAAAAGTGGTTGTTTTTTATTGTTTTAATTATGAATTTATAGTTGAATCATGAATTAGTACAATTTTATATTTGTATATCAAAGAAATCAATTGAAATGAGCAAATTCAGTGTCAGCACAACACAAATGCTGCAGCTTGCTCCCCGTCCAGCAGACTGTCATCCCTCTCTGCTTCTGCTGGCCAGCTGTCGGCACTGACACCTTACTAAAGCATCCTTTGCTTGAACAATGGAGTGTGATAATCTGAAATAGCTGCAAAAAAAATTCTTTTTTGAACTCATTTTTTAAAAATAATTCCCATCGCTCTGAGCGCCAGATTTTACTATATCTTCATTACGTGATCTGTTGACATAAGTGAAAATTATGAAGGTAAACACAACACTCTATATTAAATGCGCTTGTGATAACTGCCACTTAACAAATTAGATTTTTATATTAGATGTTATTAGATTTTTATAATAGCGTTTTTAAAAAGATGTGGCTTTGCATGGTTCAAAATGTATGCACTGCTTTTATCAAAAAAAAAAAAGAAGACATTGAAATGTGCATTCACGGAGCAGTAAATCCCTTCTGTCAGCTCTCAGTTCTTGCTTTGGCTGTCTACAAGAGGGGTTAGTTGTGGGAAAAGGAGAAGTTTTAGCTGTTCCTAAAATGTAGTTGCTCACCTTCCTGCTCTCTCCCTGCTGTGAGCACTGCTCGAGTGTCCCAGTATCTTTAATCTTTGTATCGAAAGGCTTAAAATTAATTGTCCCACCCTTCCACACAAATGGCCAAATGGAAAGGAAGACCCATTGGTGTTAAGTGAAACATGATGAAACAGCTAAAAAAAGAGAGGAAAGAATAAACAGGAATGGAAAATAAACTTTAATTTGCTCCAGTGCCAGCAGGATTTGGCATTTAACTTTAAGCATATGTTTCATTCTGTATCAGGAAGAAATACCTGTTTCGCGTTTCCCCTGATGATTCCTACCATTAGCGGAAAGTCTGTTTATTCCCAGAGCTGTGCTGCCATCAGTTGATGATGCTGGGGCACTCACAGAGATGTTTTGGCAGGGAAAATGCTTTATCATTCGTAACATCATTATGAAACATAGTCTTTTTCTTTGTAGACCAGTCCAAAGCAATTCCATATAAATTGCTGCAGTCTCTCCCTTCATGTCACGTGGTTGGGAGGAAGGGGAGAGGGAAACCACAGCCCGAAAAGTTAGAAAACCCAACAAGTAAGCTACTAACTTAAATAACCAGGAATAAACTCCCCATTGGACTCTTTTTTAATAGTTCTATAAAACTGGTGAAGACAGAAACGGTACTCGGAGAGTTCTGGTGTCTGATCAGTGCTTTTGCATTTTATGTGGTCATTTACACCTGTGCAAAGTAAGTAGTTGATAGTATTTGGCAGCTGATTTATTAGCATCTGACACCTGTATTACAATGTTGAAATGACTCTACAATGTGCAAAGCAGCGGAAAAACCACTGATTCCTTTTATGGCTTTTTTTCCTGGTAGTTTAATACTGAGATTCCATTCCGAAGGAAAAAATGAATTCCTCACACCCCAATCGTAATTCTTTATTTCTTCTAATACATATTATGTTCAGCTCATACCAACTTGGAAAAAAAAAAAAAAAGTAAAAGGAGAAAGAGAAAAGCAGTCGTGTTTAATTCACAGACGCCGGCTCTGAAACCAAATCAAAACCAGGCCACGCTCATAACACTGCAAAAAAGTCACAGAAAATGAGAAATCTGCTGTTGTGCAGAGAAACACTGCAGGACTAAGACTCTTGATTTGTAATAGAGCCAGTAAGCAAATTGCATATTTTCTGGTAGCTAATAGTTTTCCAAATAAACACAAGTTTTAACCAAATGAAAGTTCTGTTTTCACTAAAATTATTTTTGGCTTCTTCAACGCAAACCCTCAAAAAATACTCCAAACCTGCAGTATTTCTTTTTCACTGTTTCAAAGAAATAAGGGGAAAAAAAATAAATAAAAGAGTCAGCAATAGCAGCTGCGTACATGAAAAGTTACTGGGGCTCTGAGTTTACAAAAAGAATAAAGACCCTTCCCCACCCCGGGAAATCAAGCCCAATAAAGGAGGATCATGAACACATTAAAAAGATGCTCTCAGTGGCGCGATACAGTTTGTCGAGTGCGCCATTATTTGAAATGCCAGTGTTATGTGTTGACAGGCGGTGATATCTTAATGAAA